CCTGTAAGATCAGGGATCCTTTCTGTCATGTTTATCTTCTTATCTTCAACACCCAGTGGCCATTTGTTAAATACATGAACATGGAGACCCTGTAACACACTGCCACTGTTGAGTAGTGGTGCACATTAGCCCTGGAAGAGCTGGCGACCAGTCCAAGGGAGCAGGTTAGGCTGGCCGTAGCTGAACATGTTACACATGGTCAGTGCCATGATAGGTTTGCTTATTCAAGACTGATAAATATTGGCAATATTTTTTTAGTGAGTTTTAACTAAAAGATCACCACCAAGGTTCATGTGCTCAGGCTAAACAGCTAACTCACAACTGTCTTTATCACACTTCTTTTTGTTTGTTTTTATTTTGTTTTTTTTGTGACAGGTCTCATGATACAGCTCAGGCTCTCCTAGAACTCACTATGCGGCACAGGTTGGCCTTGAACTCATGATTCTCTTGCCTTAGCCTCCTAAGTGCTGGGATAACTGGTGTGTGTCACCACTCGAGCTTTGAGACTTCTTAATAAAAGACTTAAGGAAAGCTTCCTCTGTTTTCCAATGGGAAGTATCAGAGCTGTCTCTGAGACTTAAGGACTCCATTGAGAATAAAGTGATTAAATTAAGGTGTTTTGTCAAACTGCATCTAAAAATAATAAGATTTAAAATTGTTTTTCCAGTTAAAAATGCATGCTTTAAAAATGAGTTTATCCAAATAAGTTTATACCAACAAAACCAAACTGAACACTTCTTCAACCTCTTGGATTATGAACTCAAACAAAACAACCAGAACCTGTATGCAGAAAAGAAAACGCTTTTTTCCTGTTACCCTGTCCTCCTCCTCCTCCTTTAGTCTCGTTCCTTTTCTTCTTCATCCATGCTTTTACGTGCATAATCTGTTCTCTCTGGGGAGAATGCCTGAGGAAGCACACAGTGCTAGGGGTTAGTAGCGTGCTCATTACAGCGCAGCTAACCTAAGTGGAGGTGCTGGTGGAAACAAAGGTAAGTGTTCTCTATATATACTTTGTTTTTTTCCTTACATCTAAAATAATCAATCATTTGAGCATCTAGTTTCTGTATCATTTAGGCTCTTTCACTATGACCTAATGGGGTAAATTTCATATTTTTTGTGCATTGTAAAATTTTTAGGCTCATGTGCAACATGGTTCCCAAGGAAATCAAGTTACTTTTCCTGTCCCTTTTTGCACAAGTGGAAAGATGTTCAGATAAAACAAAGTGAACATAGCACAGTGGGTGTCCCCTCTGAGTGGGAGTCCACTTGAGCAAGAACATTTCCAAATGTTCCCAACCCACTTTTGGAAACAGCCCTTTGTTGAAAATGGAAGGACTTTCTATGCCTTGTGTATGAGCAAAACCATCTGGTTTAGCTGGTTTGGTCAGGTCATAGAAACAAATAAATGACAATAAAAAATGTGTATGGGGGTAACTTGTAATTTTGTTGGTTCTATTGCTCCTGGGGGGAATAACTAATTCATGTAGTATGAAAAGTCTGTTTTTTAAAAGCCTACATAGGTTAAAAACAATTAAAATCCAAAGTCTACTTTGCACAGGTGTGCCTTTAGCAATGCCCAAACAGACTCTCTGTCTGCCAGGAGAGGGAAGAATCTGCTAATATCTGAGTGTCATCTTCCTTCAAGCAATCGACAATAATTTTTCTCTTGAAGTGAGCTTTTCTTCTTGTGTTTTATTTTGATTTCATTATTAGTTCTAGCATCTTAAGAGAAATAGGACTCTCATAGGGCTAGTCTTAGGATAGTCAAGAATGCAATCTAGTGCATTATTTTATCCATGATTCCTTGCTCTCTATTCCCCAATCACCAGAGAATTAAGTCATCTTCCCTGAGACAAACAGACAGTGCTAAGTTAGCCAGGCTAGATGGAGCAGGTGTTTGGGTGTTATCACTCCAAGGATTCATGAAAGGGTCTTTGTTCTACAATAATGAAGAGTTCAAAACTCTACTCCTTCAAACTTGGGCATCCCAGAAATCTTCATCCATGATTTTGCTTTATCCCAGGCATGAGTGTCATTATTTGGGAAATAAAACTGAAAGAATGTCAGATCATTTATTTGGTTTCTCTGATTAAATCCAGCAGTGATGGCCTAAGCAGATATTGAAGATTTTCTTATGATTGATATTTATTACTTAAACTATAAAAGAAGAGAAAAACATCTATATATGATCCTAGTTATTAAAAAGAAAAAAATGCCCAAAATGTATGCTTTTGATTTTTTTTAAGGTTTTCACTAGTTCCATTTTAAATTTTAACTTTCTGTCTTTGTTAAGAATTCTTTGTATTCATTGTTTTATGGATGCTGCTTCACTGGCTTTTTGTTTGAATCTGCCAGAGGAGCTCTTCCCTTTACTAGATCTTTATTCTTTGAAATTCGTTTATGTGCTTCACCCTTCAGTTTGTGTCTGCATCTTGCATCACTTTTTTTGGTGGTACTGAGGTTTGAACTCATGCTTCATGCTTCATGCTTGCTAGGCAGGTACTCTATTGCTTGGGTCACACCCCTATCCCTTGCTTCACTTATGAATCTAATTTTATGGCTGGGCCATAGATTTGCTTTGCCCCTGCTCTCTGTTTGCCTAGATTTCCAGCTGAATTTAAAAATCATTTTTTCCCTTAATAGGATGGATTGACCTTTTGGCTCGATTAAGGATAAATACCATTAACTCTCCACTTCTGGAGGCTGTGAGTTTTGCAAAAGCTCACTGAGATTTATTCAATTATTGCTTGGAAATGAATATTGAATGAGATGGGCGTGAATCTTTTTTTCTACTCCTAGAGTAATGAGAATTCATGGTGTTGGAGGTATTAAACCACACTTAATGTTAGGCAATGAGCAGGGTTTTAAAAATAATTTTAGTGACAGGCCATCACATTTTAAAGCTTTAGAATGGGCAGTGAAATTTTTGTGTTCAAATCTGACCACCATGAGCACTTTTAGATACTGTAAGTGCTGAAAAGTTGTATGAGGTTATCATAATTTAGAACACATTGAGCTGAGACAAATCTTGTTTCAGAACTCAGCAGTTAATCTAATGCCCATGTAGCAATGTCCCTCCAAAAACTGTTTGTGCTTATCATTCTCCCTCTTATCTTGGCCCCAATCATAAAAATTCAGAGATGTGCAAAATAAAGTACCCAAGGAACAGATGCCAACTTACAGATGTTTTTAATAGCTTATATCTATAACAGTTCTGCCTCCATGGCCAATATTCTCCATGTCAGTCTTTGCTTTCTTTTCTGTTATTGAAGCATTTACATGTAGAATAAAGAGGAACAAAACATAAAAATAAGGCAGATTTGTTTGTTCTGAGAACATCTGTTCTTGTTATAAAGTATCCACAGTGCCCTTCTCAGTTGGCTGTTGCAAAGGCTACTGCTACATCAGTTAAGTTAAAAGAATGGGCAGTGCTCTCTGATGAGTAGAAATGTAGGGAAAATCGCCTTGTAATGTATAAATTTTAGATATTAAAGAGAAACATGCTTATAATGTAAGAAAAGCTGAGATGGAATATAAAATGGTTTATTATAGAATTATGTTTTTTTCCTGAGATTCATCAAATAATTTCATGGGATCAATGCCCAGTTTGGTTTCCATTTGGGATGTGGATATATTCCGAAAAGAATTTAAATACAAACTCTTTGCTGTGTATAATGCAATTAAAATTATTTTCATGTAAAAATTCTGTTTATTTTTCAAAAGAATTTCCCCACTCTTTATTACCATAACTCTTCTAACCAGCATAAATAAGAATACTAATTACTTAAATTTAAAAAGTGCAATTTAAAATTATGTAGAGATTTCTATCCATGTGCTCCTATTTTTTCTTGTCTAAATAGTATATAATAGCTTCTTCCTACATATTTTTTTCTCCAACTCATCTTCAGGGATAAGACTTTCCTCCTATTGATTGACTAATTCATACTTGTTTAATCAGCATCTTTCTTCATGGGGTTAACTATCCACTTTGGAAGAGGAAGCTTGGTCTAAGTCCTCTAGTACTATGCAATATTCTTAGCCTTTAACCTTATCTCGTCAGTGATGACACACATTCTGAAGTAGCAGGACACTTTCTCTTTAGTAACTGGATTGTTTTAATGCCTCAGTGTCTGCCTGTCTTGATATCTTTTACCCCTGAATACTGTGACTCCTTGTGGTCCCTGTTTCTTCATACAATGTACTTGGATTTCACTTGAGCATCTTGAACATGGATCTCTTGAGTCAACTTCTTTGTTCTTTCACTTGGTGATACTTTCCATGAAAGATTCTTTTGACTTAAAAAGGACGAATTTTGGAATTTTACATTATTTCATGTTTTAGGGCTTTGGATCTTTTTGGAGTATGATGACCAATGAGATAAGTCTAGGGCCTCTCACATTCCCTTCAGGAGCATATTTACAATGAGGTTTAAACCTTGACATTATTTCTATTGTGATATTTACTATTGTGATTTCTATGGTCACTGAGTTCTGATAGGATCATGGGTTAGTGGAAATGTCAAATTAAGGAAGCAAATATTGTGGAATTCTTTTCTTACCTAATTGATGGATGTAATCTAAAAGTCAGACTGGTGTATTATGCCCAAATAACTAAATGATTCTTTCCAAATGTGATGAATTTCCTATTTCTTCAAGAAATTCATTTGAATTCTAAGACTTTGAGAAACAAATGACAGCTGGCTACTGATTCCTATAACTGTTCTCTTATTGCCATTGACATTTTAAGACTTCATGCCTATAAATAAAGGAAGGCACTTTCTTCCTCCTTTATAATTGTCTTTTGTGCTTGAATTGAGACTTCTGCTATTGGGTACTATTGTGTAGCATCCTATTGAATCATTGGATGTAGGAAGAACTTGGGACAGACACAACTCCTAGATGTTCCTGGGTCATGTGCACCAGTGTGGCTTTGACAACCCAGATATCATGAGCAGTCCTTTGAAAACTTATTTTAACTTTGGCACTTATCACCATCCATAGGCAAAGGACCTGAGACCCTGTATGCGGGGCAGAAGCTCAATGACAATGAGTGGCACACTGTTCGAGTGGTGCGGAGAGGAAAAAGCCTTAAGTTGACTGTCGACGATGATGTGGCTGAGGGTGAGTGCAACTGTGGTGAAATTTGTCTTTCTTTGCTCTCATTGTCTTCTCTGTCTTTCATTTGCAAAACCTTGTTTGCTTAATAGAATTCACAAACCATATTCTCTGTGGACAAACTTGGGCAAGGCTAAGAAAATAGTTTTCCTCTGTAATTTCATAGTCCCCTTTTATCAATCTGTATTACAGACTTATCCACTACTTTAATTATAATCTATGGTTCTCTTTCATTAGGCATAGAGTCTATATGAGAAGAATAGATATAGGGTTCTATAGATCCTTCTATTGTTCAATAATTCAAAAATCACTTATCAGTCATCTTCCATGTATTAGTTCCTTCCATCAGTGAGTGAATCACTATTTAGTAGAGAGCGACAGTTGACCTGAGAATTCAGAATATTACAGAGAAGCATAAATACTTAGAATAGTGAATGCCTCTTAGAAGGTGTTGAACAAAGAGTGGTTTCATTAATTATTCATTTATTTAATTGTTATTGACTGAGTACATACTGTGTACCAAGCACTGTTTTAGGAGGAATTAGAGATATGGTTATGTACTAATAAGCAAATCTTCTGCTGGGTAGAATTTACATTTAGGAAGGCAATGAGTAAATGAATCCATACCTATGTGAAGAAGCATGCAGAATCCCACACAACTCATAGGTATTTCTTGAGAGATTGTTATATATCAGCATTGTATAAGGATAGTGAAAAAAAGAAAAGAACCAGAGAAATTACCTGTTTCCTCAAACAGTGAATGATCTAGTAGATTACATAGGATCCTGATATTTAAATATAGTATAAGAATGTATCCTGAGGTTTTAATTGGGTGATTATAATTGACAATCAGAAGAGATAATAACAAGTAAGGATGAAGGAGTTAGGAATTAGGAAGAAGAAATAAAAGGAATACAAATTAGAAAGGAAGTTGTCAAACTCCCTATTTGCAGCTGATATGATCTTAAACCTAAAAGATGTGAAAAACTCCTAGACACCATAAACAGCTTCAGCAAAGTAGCAGGATACAAAAGCAATAGCCTTTCTGTACACCAACAATGAACAGATTGAGAAAAGATATAGAAAAATAATTCCATTTAAAGCAGCCTCAAAAAATGAAAATACCTAAGATAAGCTTAACAAGGGATGTGAAAGACCTCTACAAGGAAAACTATAAACCACTGAAGAAAGAAATTGAAGAAGACTGCAGATCTCTCATGCTTGTGGATTGGTAGAATCAACATAGTGAAAATGGTTATGTTACCAAAAGCAATCTATATGTTCAATGCAATTCCCATCAAAATCCCAATGATATTCATCACAGAGATTGAAAACTCAACCCTAAAGTTCATTTGGAAGCACAAAAGACTGGGATAGCCAAGGCAATAATGAGCAAAAAGCATCACTAGTGGTATCACAATACCCGACTTCAAACTGTACTACAGAGCCATAGCAATAAAAGCAGCATGGTATTGGCACAAAAACAGATATGAAAACCAGTAGAACAGAAGACCGAGATATGAATTCACGCAGCTATGCACACCTGATTTTTGACAAAGGCGCCAAAAACATATGATGGAGAAAAGACAGCCTCTTAAACAAGTGATGCCAGGAAAACTGGATATCTGCATGCAGAAAACTGAAACTACATCCATGTCTGTCACATTGTACAAATATCAACTCAAAGAGAATTAAGGACCTCAATATAAGCCCTAAAACTTTGAAGCTACTGCAAGAAAAAGCAGGGAATACACTGGAATTAACAGGCACAGGTAATGACTTCCTAAATAGAACTCAAATGGCTTAGCAACTAAGAGAAAGGATTGACAAATGGGACTACATGAAATTAAAGAGCTTTTACACAACAAAAGAAATGGTCACCAGATTGAGGAGGCTGCCCACAGAATGGGAGAAAATCTTTGCTAGCTATACATCTGACAAGGGATTGATAACCAGAATGTAGAGGGAACTCAAAAAAATAAACTCTCCAAAATTCAACGACCCAATGAAGACATGGGCAAAAAAAAACTGAACAGAGCTTTTTCAAAGGAAGAAGTCCAGATAGCTAAAGAACACGTGAAGAAATGCTCACCATCCCTGGCCATAAAGGAAATGCAACTTAAAACCACATTAAGATTCTACCTCACTTTTCTTAGAATGGGTATTATCAAGAACACAAACAACAAATGTTGGTGAGAATTTGGGGAAAAAGGAACCCTTATACACTGCTGGTGGGAATGTAAATTAGTACACCACTATGGAAAACAGTATGGAGCCCCCTCATAAACTAAAAATAGAATGGCTATATGACCTAGCAATTCCACTCCCCTGTAATATACCCAAAAGAAAATAAGTCAGGTTACAACAAAGGCACCTGTACACCCATGCCCATGTTTATTGCAGCACTATTCATAATAGCTAAGCTATAGAAACAGCCAAGGTGCCCCATTACTGATGGGTAGATTAAGAAAATGTGGTATTTATATACAATGGAATTTTATTCAGCTACAAAAAAGAAATTTTGTCATTTGCAGATAAATAGGTAGGGCTGAAGAACATCATCTTAAGTGAAGTTAGCAAGGTTCAGAAGGCCAAAGGCACATGTTTTCTTTCATATGTGGAATATACACCTAATACAAATATAGCAATATTATAAAAAACAGGGGGAGGTCACATATGAGAGGGGGAGGGTAAAAGAAGAAAGTTAAGAAGGTGAATATAGTTGATTCTATACAAGAACGAATATGGAATTTTTACACTGGTTGAAAGTACCATAAACAAAGAGACTAAGGTAGAAAGAAGAAAAATAGAGGAGATGAACCAAATTGGGCTATAATACATGTATACATGGAAGTACCACAAGGAAACTCCCTGTGTAGCTATCTTCAGTAAGCAAAAATGTCACTTTTTCTTTTTCTGTTTTTCTTTTAGAAAATCAGAGAACAGAAGGATGAAACAGGTCCTGCCTATGAGAAGGGGGAGGAGGTGGGAAAAGGAGGGTGAATATGGTGCAAATACTATGTAGACATATTTGTTAACAGAAAAATTGATACCTGTTGAAACCAATCCAGGAATGGAGGGGATAAAGGAGAATGGTGGAGAGGGTGAATTTAAATAGGACATATTTGATATAGTGTAAGAACTTTTGTAAATGCCTCAATATCCCCTTACCCAGCACAACAAAAAAAAAAAAAAGGAAAGAAAGAAAAGAGCAAGTTGGGATGAAGGAATTAGGTGTGGTTTTGTGAAAGTAGATCTTCATCTGGAATTTCTGGCTGCTGTGTGTACAAGACAAAAGCCTTCAGTTAATAGTGACCAGTGATGTGACTGAGGCTGAGGTCTAAGGGGAGAGAAGGCAGGTTCAAGTACTATCTTAAAAGATGCCATGTCCAGCAAGTCTGCTCGCTAATATTACTGTATGCAGAGTGCAATTCTTGAGCATATGGGAAAAGAACACCCAGTGCAGAGCAGGATATTGTGTGGCACACTGCAGGCATCTGATCACAGCCCTGACATTAGTGCTGAAGGATGTTGGGAAAGTTGCTCACCATTCCTTCCCTGGCCTTGTCAAATGCAGTCAGTGGCCTCAGCCCTCTTCACAGTGTCTTCTGTGAACAAGGTCAGTCAGGAGCCCTGGAATTTAGCACAGTCATTGACACCAAATTGCTTTATGCCTTTGGGATAGATCTACTTAGACCTATTTTTCTCCATTTCCTTATTTTTAAATTTGAATTTCTGTTATTTCTAAGGCCCTTTTACTGTAAATGTTCTATAATTGGGGGTACTATATTTAATTTTATATTCATGAGTCTGAGCTTCTGTCGGTTTAGAATTAGAGATCATAGTGAAGTGTGTGTGTGCAGGAGTGTGAGTATGAGTGGTGTGTGTGTGTGAGTAGAGAAAGTCTGTGGATACAGGAGGAACATCTAACATATTTCCAGTCAACATTAGATAGTGTGTTACCTTTATCACATATCAGCTCCTTTAATCTTCTGTAATTCAACAGTCTTTCAAAAATAAATGTTCTTATTGTTATTTTTGTAGAAGGGGACCATGAAACTTAAGGTTGTATAATTAAACTTCAAATCTATGTCTGTGTGATTCTATAAAATCAAGCTGCTTGCTATCAATTGCTTCATAGTCCATCATAAGAAATGGTTTATCTTTAAGGACAGGAAAAGAATAATAAAATGGGTTAGGGTGAGGTGGGGAATGCATTTCAGGAAGTAGACTACAACATTCGTTCTCTCCCTTCCTAAAAAATAAAAGCAAACAGAGCCACGTTAACTCTCCAACACACTCCGATTCTACACAGACATAACTTAGTAGTGGGAGGTATGGTTACTTGTCTATGTGCCTAAAGGGCAATTTAGCTTCACGAAATGAATATAAAATATGCGATGTAAAAATTGTTACACTGTTTAGAACCCGCAGTCCATCTGCATTAATTATTCAAGAAATCCCCATGAGCTGTTAGTGCAGACAAGAGCCTGCAAAGGCTGTGCTATTGAGTTCCACATCTCTTGCTAATTCCTCTGGGTAAGTTCCAAGGGGATGAGCAATGTAGCATATTTTGAAAACAGCCACTGGATGGCACCACACTCCAATCTCTCATTTTCCTCTTCCGAAAGCAGTTATAAAGAGGGGCAGAACATAGGGTACTGTAATTCTTATAGAACCTTTGGAATAAAAGCGATTATAAATTGTGCTTTCTGTTACCACTAATAATTAGAAAACAGGCCTACACCACTGAATGCCCAAGTCATCTAGTAATTTAATATTTGAAATTAATGAAACTCCTTCACTTTGAGCTGTACCCCCTGCTTCACTGCTGATGGAAGAAAGCAGTCATAAGTATAGAGAAATTTGGGAGAAGAAAAGAGTTATTTTGCTTGTGAGCTATAACCTCGGGTTGCTTTTTACAGTGATAAGGGGTTTGGGAATTTTAATTTTAGTTCACGGAAGTCATAAAATCAGGCAATGAAATTAAAATACACACACCCCAGTGGTGTCTTATTGGCTTATTTAGTAATCTTGTTCATGCTGTTTAAGGTCCTCCAGTGTGCCAAATTTCCAACTAGTTTGTAGAAATAATGCAAAGAATAGTTTAGACTCACAGGAAATCAAAAGCAAAGAAAGAAATATTCTTCAACCTGGTGTTTTCCTTTTATTATAGTATAATTGTATTCTTGGAAAAGTATTAAGTTCAGTTGACAGTTAATAAGGGTTGATTGATTGATTGTGCTGGATTTCTATGATTAAGACTAAATTAAAAGAATACTTCACTTGGTTTATGCTCCTCCAAATGGGGACCTAATGCTGCATGAGCCACTCATACACCCAGAAATTCTTGCTAGATTAAAAAATTCACCCTTCTTTTCACTACTTCTGTCCAAATTGGCTTCTCCCTCCTACACCCAAGCTGTAAAAAGAAGTCATTTTTCAAAGTTTCCATTAAAAACTTGTTCCTCCTGCTAATAAAAAGTTGATAAAATGGAATTGGGAAAAGTTAGGTCAAAAAATAAAAAAGAAGTTCTTTGTTGTAAGACTTATTAGGAGCCCTTAATAAGCTAATGTACATTGCTAATCATCAATTATTAAATAAGCACTACTTGCCAAATGTATTTGGCTCCAGAAACATTTTTTTAATAAAGCATTTTATAACACATGCTTTTGAAAAGTGCTGATGTCATGAAGAAAGGGGTTTGAGCATTGTGGTAAAATGTGAGTTTACTTTAGTGAGACTTCCCCCCCCTTTATTGTTGTGACAGGTGGCACAGGTTGTGACAGGTGGCATTTACACAGGTTCTTACATTATTTTCTTAACTTCTCTCCCTGTGTCTGCGAGATGTAGGAGGTCAAGTGGCTTCCTCTTAGCTTTTCCCATCATTATTATTCTTATTTTGATAAGTTCTTATTGTTGAACAGGAACTACATGTGCAGAAATGAGAATCAAAACTCTGACCCTCAAGCAAATGTCTCAGTGCAAGCTCTTTCCCCTTTATGAAGGATACTTGCAGAACTCAGGCCCCTCTGCTGAACACCATGGGACATAAAGGAGGCACCAGAAGTGGTCCCTACTTAAAAAGAGCTTGCATTCTAATAAAAGAGAGGGACAAGCGAAATAACTGGAAAATGATTAAAACATTTCAGATAACAAAAGAATGACTGCTGCATAGTCAGTAATAGCTAATGATGTTGAGTCCTATGCACTATTGTAAGTACTTTATATACATTGATATATTTAGCCCTGATAACCTCATATGCATTTTACAAATGGGAAATTGAGGCATGAAAAGTTAGGTAACTCTCCCAAGGTAGGCCAGTTAAGAAGCTGTGGAGCTGTAATGCAAAAACAGATATTGTAGTCCCAGAGTTTACATGCCCACCTACTCTATGCTTTGGCTCATGGGAAGTTGGTTTGGATTTGACCAACATTTTGCATAGGTTTATGTTCCTCATCACTCTGAGGATTGGTCAGTAGACAGCCCTTTGGCCATTAGTGAAATATGGAAGTGAATGTGTGAGAAGGAGCCAAGGCAACAGGGCTACTTTAGAGAAGGTGCTGAATATATTACCCTGAAATAGATGGAATGGTATTATGCTACTTAGCCATGGGGAAGAAGTGTGAACTCATTATAACAGTTTCTGCGTGGAAATGTCACCAGATAAACTCCATCTACTACTTTTCCTGGGAATGATGTGGGGAATGAGTCAGATTTTTCTTGAAAGACAGTATAGTATATAAGTAAAGTATGGGCAGTGAGATTTTATATACCTGGGTTCAATTTACCATTTACCATGTTTAACCTTGATTAAATGGCTTAATCTCTGTAAACTAAATGCCTTCTCCTCTAAAGCAAGCTAATGAAACCCATCTATAATTTTATTTTGGTTATTTCATTTGTTATTCCTAGTGCAGGGCCTTGCATATAGGAAATAGTAATAGTCTGTTTTTGCTAGTTATCTTGTACCCAAGTTACTTCTCTTTCCTCTGAAATTGGAGAGCACCTGGTATGAAGCATATATCCATCCCTTAAATGGAAAGGAAGCTTGGTCTATACACAGAATTCAGATGAGATGAGTGACAGGGTTCCCAAATACTAATGTGGATTAGATAGAATTTTAAAAAAAATATTTGGTTAGTTTGGTGTAGGGTCAAATGCTAAGCAATTTTTGATAGTTTTACCAGGTATAGTAGTATACATTTTCTTTTTCTGTTTTGGAATCTCCACCCACAGGGGAGTAAGATCCTTTCACAAGAAGTAGAGCCACATATCACCTGCTCTTCTTCCCCTCCCAGACAGGAGTGAGAGCTGCTTTTTGAGTCACCCTAAAGCTGACTTTAGGGTGTCTATAACCCTAGATGAAGCACTTGAATTCTGTTGTTAGCTTCTGTTCTACTTATCCACATCCTTGCTCCACTTCTCTTCTATCTCAAACAATACATTACTTTTTTTCTTGCTTTTTATAATAGATTTTTTTTAGTAAGAAGAACATTCTAAGCCCTTAATCCTGAAGGTCAGTTTATCCAGAATTTCTCTAGAAGTCCTCAATTGACTTTAAAATTGTGTCTTCAGATTTCTTTTTTGAACTCAGAGATCTACCCTTTGGGTCACTATTCTAATTGTAGGATGTTTTTGCTGGAATATGAGTAAACATGGCGAACAGCAGTAGCATCCTTCAGTTCCTCTGACCTTATGCAAATTGGCTGTGAAATTCCCCATAATTCTCCAACTCCAGCTCCCATGCCTGGTATGAACAGCTGGAGCCAAGTTGACGTTGCACGTTTATTTCAGTCACTGTGCTGTTTTAGAACATGTGAATTTAGGTTATTTTACTTTGTGTTTTCATAATCAGTTCATTTTTCAATACAAAGTAATTTTATGCAGTAATTCATTTCCCTAGTTATTCAATTGTTGGCAGATTAATGTTGCAATTTGCTCTTACTACAGTTTATATTTAAGTAACATCACTCTTTTATTTTTGCTTATATTAAGAGAATATTTTGTCACTAGTTGTCAAAACACCACATTGAATCTCATAAAATGTATGTTTAATTTTTGTGCTCGTATATGACTCTTTGGATCACGTCTGAGTTTGCATCTGAAGAGATGAAATCTATATCAAGCATCCAAGGATATAATGTGTTTGAATTGTTTAGATTCAAGTTTAAAGTATCCAAGAAACAACAAACTCTTCCAGTGTTGGTCACTTGAGTTCTGGATCAATAGAGGAAAAAAAAAAAACAAATGGAAATCAAGTGTCTTTTAAATTTTTTTTGGTGGCCCTGAGGTTTAAACTGAGTTTTATGTTTGCTAGGCAAATACCCTAGTACTTGACCCACACACCTAGTCCTTTTTTGCTTTAGTTATTTTTCAAATGGGGTCTTGTACTTTTTGCCCAGAGCTGGCACCAGAACACAGTCCTCCTGCTTTGCCTCCTGTGTTGCTGGCATTACAGCCTTGGGTCACTGCACTTCCTTGTTTGTTGAGATGAAGTCTTGCTAACTTTTTGTCCAGAATGTCCTTGAACTGCTGTCCTCCTGATTGCTACCTCCTGAAGTAGCTGAGAATTCAGGCATGAATCACCATGCCTGGCCCTTATGTGTTATTTTTATTAGTGATAATAATAATATTAAAAATATGACATCTACTGAACTTCAGAATTAGACAGATTTGTTCATTTGAACCTAATTCGGAACTAGGCAGGTATCCTCTACTGTAGCAAGGCTTACTCCCTTGTCACCAACAGTGTGGATGAGTGGAGTAGAATGGATGTTTCCCAAGGCACTTTGCTCAGGCAAGCTTATGGGGATGAGGTGTGAACACAATGTCTTTTTGCAGACTATCCTGACTTCAGTTTACATCATTCCTTTCCTTCAAGAATATCGAAAAGATATGTTACCTATCCTCACTCCTTACTTGTGTGCGAAAAGAGAAAGTTAAAGGGATTCTAGCAGTGTCCTACTATGATGTACCTTAATACTCAGTTGTTTTCATAAATATAGAAAAACTAATAACTTTATTCTTTAACTTGGGCTGTCCTGTGACCTCACAAGCCACTGTGGGAGTGTGTGGAGCTAGGCCAGTACTTAACTCCCTGCCTGAGGCCAAGTCAGGTACAGACAGACTATCACAAGGCTTTGGTTTCTGGAACTGAATCAAGAAAACTGAGTGTGTATGTGGAAACAAGTTCCACATATAGTAAGGATGCTGTGACAAAGTGTAACTTTTGCTGTCTGTACCTCATTTCTGATTTTCATAGGTACAATGGTGGGAGATCATACCCGCCTGGAGTTCCACAATATCGAAACCGGTATCATGACTGAGAAGCGTTTCATCTCCGTTGTCCCATCCAGTTTCATTGGCCATCTGCAGAGCCTCATGTTTAATGGCTTGCTCTACATTGACTTGTGCAAAAATGGTGACATTGACTACTGTGAGCTGAAGGCCCGTTTTGGACTGAGGAACATCATTGCTGACCCTGTCACCTTCAAGACCAAAAGTAGCTACTTGAGCCTTGCCACCCTCCAGGCCTATACTTCCATGCACCTCTTCTTCCAGTTCAAGACCACCTCAGCTGATGGCTTCATTCTCTTCAATAGTGGTGATGGCAATGACTTTATTGCAGTTGAGCTAGTCAAGGGGTAAGTAGAAGGGATCACATAATTCATGCTGGATATCTTCATATCCAGCCCTCCATAAAACACAGACAGGAAGAAAACTGTCTAGTCTCCCAAATCTCTCTTCCTGAAAGCATTCTCATTAGTTACGAAGATCCACCAAATGACTAAGGGTGGAAAGGAGAGAGACTTATAAGCTTATTTAAAGATCTCCCAAGCCAAGTGTGATGGTGAATGTTTGTAATCATAGCTACTAGGAATGTGGAGACAGGAAGATAGTGATTTCAAGGCTAGCCTTGACAAAAAAGTTAGCGTGACCCCCATCTCAACAGAAAAGCAAGGCATGTGGTATACTCCTGTTATCTCAGCTATGCAAGAGGCATAAGTAGAAGGATCAAAGTCCAGGCTGACCTGGACAAAAACCAAAAGACCTTATCTGGAAAACAACTAAAGTAAAAAGGATGGAGGGGGTGTGGTTTAACTGGTAGAGCACCTGCCTAGAAAGCACCAGGCCCTGAGTTCAAACCCCAGTATGGTCAAATAAATGAATAAATAAAATCAATACAAAAGGGCTGGTGGTATAGCTAAGATGGTGTCAGACATGTGTGTGGCCCTATGTTCAATCTTGGGACTGCAATCAATCATTAGTTAATCAATATCTTCTATGAAGTCAATATATCAAACTTTTTACTATAAAATATAGTCCTTTATAGGGAATAAAAGTTTATTTTTGTAAAAGGGGTCTGTACATATGTTGCAATCATCTCTTGAGTAACTACAACCACCCAATTTATACCAAGAAATAAAATACAGATATTTTCAGCCTACCATTAGCTCACATACAAAAAAAGTTTTTAAGCTACCCTTTGCTCTAGACATTCTTCTACTACATATTGGAAAATAATCAAAGAAAAGCAGAATAAAACCAGATTCGTGACTGATTGAATTTGAAATTTGCCCCTAGTGTTTTATAGTGTAGTCTGTATATTACTACTTGGTTCTGGATAGTATTACTGTGAAGTGTTAAAGAAGTAAACTCCATGAGTATGGAATTAAAATGAAGTGTGATAGAATAGTTACTAACTATAACTGTAAACAAAGCTTTAATTTCATTTGCTACATTGTACCAGTTTGGTCCATAGATTTGGAGTTCCTTGCATTTGTTACATATACATTGTCACTAGACTGCTTCAGGGAATCTCAAGTTGTCCGGTGATTCTTGTCCCTCTAGGTACATACACTATGTGTTTGACCTTGGAAATGGTCCCAATGTGATCAAAGGCAACAGTGACCGTCCTCTGAATGACAACCAGTGGCATAATGTCGTCATCACTCGTGACAACAGTAACACCCACAGTCTGAAAGTGGACACCAAGGTGGTTACTCAGGTTATCAACGGTGCCAAAAATCTGGATTTGAAAGGTAAACTTCTAAAGAATTTAATTTAATTTAGAGCATTTTTTATACTAGAAAGGCTATTTCTAGAGGCAAACTACAGGTTAGGAGTACCATGTATTTTTTGGAACACCATGCATATTGTATTTTAAATAATGCAACTTACCTAGTTTTCACAAAGACTACTCCTCAAAGAATTGTTCATTTCCTCTGATAACCTCAAGAATGTCTTTCTGTGGGGACCAGGTGATAAGGTGATAAATGTTAATATATAGGAGGGTCCATAATGAGGAGAAGGAAGTAGTCTCTTTGGAATTTCAGTTGAATCATTTACTGCCTCCGTGACATTGGTAAAAATGTCTTACTCTTTTTTAGCTTCTGTATAACTTTTTATAACATGAGAATAATAATAATTATTCCCTTTATGGGTTGTTAGGGGTTTTGATGGGATGTCTGTAAAACCCTCAGTATATTACTGGCAATAAGCACATAAAAAGCACTCAGTAAATGGTTGCTTTGCTGAAAATATTGTTAATCTTTACTGTATCCTATAATGGGGACAATACATGCTTTATAGAATTGATATGATGATTAAAATTTGTGAAACAACATTTATAAGATGAATGACATCCAAGAAATGTTGGTTTCTTCTTTCAACAATTTAAAATTAGTAATGAGAAATAATTAGTAATTATTTTGTTTCAGCTTCCCCCTCCAGCTATGTTATCAGTATCTAAGAAATATTCAAAAGCATATTGGCTTTAGTTGACATGGCCGCCCTATCCTTTACTCAGTCTCTTTTACTACTTGTTTTCCCTTCCAGGTGATCTCTACATGGCTGGCTTGGCCCAAGGCATGTACAGTAACCTCCCAAAACTCGTGGCCTCCAGGGACGGCTTTCAGGGCTGTCTGGCATCGGTGGACTTGAATGGACGCCTGCCTGACCTCATCAATGATGCTCTCCACAGAAGTGGGCAGATAGAGCGTGGCTGTGAAGGTACAACCTCTCTTCTTTTTAAGTTACAGCCTTGTTGCAAGCACTGAGCCTCCTTGCTGCCTCTACCAGTGCCTCTTCCTCAGTTTACCAGTCCTCTCTCATTCCCATTTTCCATCCAACATTGCATCATCATCGTTGGTGTCCTCTTGTCACTGGTTGAGTATGTCAAGACATGTGCCACAGGCTCCAGGAATGTGTGCTGGCAGATGTTTTCCCAAGATCACATACTTGCCAGTAAAGAACCTTCCCTGGCATTGGCATTCCAATTTGTGCCTTTTCTTCCAGAAGGGCTGAAAGGGCATCAGAGACTTTATATTTTAATACACGAGAAGGGGCAAACCAGAAGTCTCTGGTGTAACCATTAATAAAATGCTTATTTTGCTTAAGAGTGACTGCATTATTCAATGAAAACCTATTCAAGGGAATCAATGTCAGAATGCCATGATGAGGGAAGGGAACCAATATTTATTGACTACTTACTAGATATCAGGTATAGTTAGGCAGTTCCTTAGTGTGGTATAGGGGAACGTCTTGGCTTTGATGTTAGAAGGACCTGGATTCAGAGACGGACAGTAGCTGGTGTTAGGTGTGTGACATTGTGAAGTTACTCAACCTCTCTGAGCTATATCTTACCTATAAAATGAAGCAATAAAAGTTACCTTCAGAGGTAATTATTAGTAAATTAGAAATATACGAAATGCCTGATACATGGTAGGTACTCAAAAGTCATGGGATTATTGTTTCTAAAGATTATCTCATATGAGACATCTAATAACATTGCACGTCCACCCATCTAGCACAACAAACCTCATTCAGCCTATTTCTGTAGTTGATCCACTCTCTTTTGAAATATTAACTGAATTGAACAAGTTTTTCTGAATCCAACACTTCTTTGCAAACAAAGCAATCTAGTTTCAGCCATCAGAGGGCAGCAGTGAACACATGCAGTGTTCTGTAGCAGCCTTGGCTTAGCAGGAAAAGGTGACTGAACCTAATTGAAAGGCAAAGAAGTTGCTTGCTTGAGCAGTCACCAAGGTCTGTGCATTCTTCCCTCTGATTGAGCCTTATGGCCCTTTGTTTGTGAGATGTATTGAGTTTTCTTGTCCCTTTGTTAATTTACCACATTTAAACATGTTTATTCATCATCTGTGTTCAACCTCATGGATCACTCATGTTTTTAACCAGCTTCTTTTTGTCTTCTCTCAGCCTTTGAAAGTGTCTTTTTGCAAAAGCTTCTTATCAGTTTCTCAGTCTGACTCAGAGTTATGGAAGTTGTTTTCTTTTGCCTATGAGTCACTTGCCTGTGTTGCATTGGTGTAAGACTGGCCATCCCTATGACCTACTCCATTTTTCCTTTAGTCAGAAATTTTTCTTTATTCTATTGGCAAAATACGAAGTATGTATGTATATAGGGGGACAGGAGATAGGGAATCACAAGGCACTTAAAGTAGCAACTTTGTGTTCTAGAAATATATGACTTCGTTCCACTAAAAAAATTTATTTTTGTCCTATTAGCCTATCCTTAGTTCTTTTGGATGTTAAAAGGCAATCCTGGAATATATGCTGCATTTAGAATTTTACTGAATATCTTACTTTAGAAGACTGTGGAATGGCAGTAGTTCTAATTATCCTTCAATAATCAAGTTAAATCACAAAATAAAAGCATATATGAAAAAGCATAAAGAACTGGTCAAATGTTAAATATATCATGCCATCAGTTACTCAGATTGAAAAGTCAACAAAAATTGCCCATTTAACTCTAAAGTTATGCTGCTCTGTAATTTTAAAATTCTTAGTAGCTACATTTTTAAAAATATATAAACAGGTGAAGTTAATTATGGTATTATATTTTATTTTACTTAACCTAATATATCCAAAATATTATCATTTCAATCTGTAATTGACATAAAATTATCAATAGGTATTTTATATTCTTTTGATCATATTAAGCCTTCAAAATTGATTATGCATTACTTGCAGCACAGATCACTATATGATTTTATAGTGCCTATAGCCACATGTGTGTCTGGCTTTATACTGGAAAACACAGCTCTATAGAATATAAAAATTGACGTGTGAAGAAACAAAGCCATAGTATTGTATTAAGATAAGAGGAGGTCTAAACTAACTTTTAGAAAATGTACAGTAAAAAGGGGCAAATGCACCCCACTTAAGAGAGCTTTGAGAAGCAATGAGAGCATTAGCAAAAGTAAATTGCCCATCAAATTGTTCCTATCTCTAGCAGCAGCTCTATGTGCAGTTCAGCATGACTCATCACATGCATTATGGTGGGTTCCACCTTCCTCTAAGTATGGGTGATTGTTCAAAGCTGGATATTGTGACTTGATGGCTCTCCCATCTGAATCTATGGCAAATCCCATGGGCCTAATAACACTGCACTCTATTGCCATGGAGATAATTACCGTGGCTGCCCATCGAGCATTATGACTGCCCTACTGGGTGGAATGAAGTGGAGGATGAGTGGTGAGGGAAGAAGGTCCTTGTTTATTGTACACAAATGACTTGGATAATTAGTCTAAGTGGCCAGAAAAAATGACCAAAAAGTGGGTTAAGGCACAAATTACTGTCATTGGAAGTTTGCACCATTGTGAATAAGCCCTCATAAAAGATCTTGGGAGTTTTTTAGGGTAGAAATGAAGTTGTGGAAGATAGTGGGGAGGAAAATGAAGGGCCCCAAGCCTTGGAGAGTCTGCAAAACCATGTTACTGTCATTATGAATCTCTTCTATATAGCATGTGGGCCTTTGGGTATTAGGCAGTGTGGGAAGCATAGGAAACAGTACACATATCTGGATTTATCATTTCTATGTAGAAAATAGTAAACAGGTAGGCCATGAGGTTTCATTACTGAAAACTACAACCTAGGTATCTTTAAGATGGCAAGTGTATTTCATTCACATATTTATATTTAGGGTACACAGACCCAAGATATATCATGTATTCCTGTTAAAAGTCATTAACAATGTCATTTCAAGATTCCAAAATAGTAAATGTATTATATTCCCTATTATATCTGACAACAACTGCAACAAAAGGCAAAAGAGTCCAAACTATTTTTAAAAATACATTCATATACTACTCTTTGGCTCTCAACTTTTAGTAGCAAAGATAAACCTTGAAATAGATTTTAATTTTATGTCTCTAATACACTCAGTGTGTGAAATATGGAAATCAAGCAGACTTTCTAACCAGTAGCTAGCTGTGACTTTTGACCTCTCAGTTTGAGCTAGGCTTTCCTAAAATACTGCCTGGCTTATTTAGTACTTAACTGGTAAATATGTGGAGGCCACCATTGCTATAGAGACCAAGGCATTATTATGTGGAAATGCCATTTCACAATTGCAGATGGTAAACATCTGAGAGAAACACACGTGCTCCATTTTGGAACTGGCATGAATAAATAAAAAGGACATTGATTTGGTGCCTTTTTGCCCACAAACATTTGGGTTTGACTATCTTCCTATAAATTGAACAAATTGAGTTTCTTCGTGTTCCCAAATTAATCACCTTGATAGAAATGCCTATCTCTGGTGCCATGTCCTTGGTGGCATTTATTTGCAGGAGGAGGGTGTAAGGGGTATTCCCAAGTAACACTCCCATGATCAATTTCTAAATATTCCGACTTATTTTTGTGGGCTCTGTCTGATTGTGCACTCGTGTTTTTCAGTCTGGCCACATGCTGCCTTTTCTCTGGCTGCATACATTTGGGAAGGCTCTTGTCACCCATCGCTTGTGCTTTGTCAAGTCCACTGTTTCCTTGCCCTTGCTCTGCTGACTTGGCTCTCAGGAGTCCTGCTCTAACCTGGTCTGCGTGTCCCCTCGTCTGTCTGTGCTGTCTCTGGTAACCCTGTAGAGTATATCAATTGTCTGTTCGGGTGGTTTGTTATGCAGACTGTATTTTCATTTCTGTGATGTTACCTGGTTGACTCTACCTCTTACTAACCTCTGGTTATTGTTTCCGCTTTTTCTGTTCTTTTGCTAACAAAGTTGCGTTGACCAAAGCTGACCTGCAAGGTAGAGAAGGCTCTTGTTCCCATTACCACTTTGGACTGAAAGATGCCCTGTGTAACCCCTGGTATCTTTACATTAGAGGGCTTCAAGCTGTCACACCTCCTAGACAGCCATGGTGGGAAGGAGGCTGAAACCAGTGTTCTTCTGAAAGGGTGACAGAAAACCCACATAAATGTATGAAAAATAACTATACAGAGAAGATTTCATGGGAATAAGAACACCATTCTATTTTGGGGGGGAACAAAGAGATTTGACAGATTGCATCTTATGCTGTGACTACCTCCCAACACATTAATCCATCTGGAAATGATTAATTCCTTTTCAAGGGGCTGCCATTGAGGAGCTGGCTCCTCCTAATTTATCCACCATAGATAGAAGGCAGCACTTCGAAGAAGGAAAAAAAAGGCCACTTGAGTTCTTAATTTGTTATTTTCTGGGTTAGGAAGGTCATTTTCTAGAGTGGGACATTTATGTGTTTGGGCTTTATGAAAGAACATATCATTTTCTCTTAACTCATTTTAAAGAAATATTTTTAGGCATTTGGGAGATACTAATGCCATTAAAATGTTCCAGAGATCTATATTTCCTATTGGGGATTTTGGTTGAGCACCTTAATTTCCTGGTTTGTTATCTAAGGTAGAAAAGTCCTCTTGGGGAAGAAGAGGATCTGTGGGTTTCATCCTAAATACCCTATAAAACGCTGTGTGTGAGATGACAGTATCAGCTGCAGAAACTGCTTCTTCTGCCATTCAAAGAGGCACATTGTAAAGTCAGTAATGACCTATTGCTCCTGTCAGGTCAGGCTGCTTTGACTCAGAATAGCAAAGAAGGAACAGGGCATTTTTAGATATCTTGTGGTTGATGGGTAAGCAGGGAACCAGATTCTCAGATGGCCTCTGCAGAGTTTGCAATTAGCAAAAATTGTTAGAAGTGGTTAAGGCAAAGGTAGCTTTTCAAAAGTGACTTTTC